AAAAGGAAATAAGATGTGGTTTTCTAAGTAATTAACAAGGCAGAGTTTTTATTGAGATAACAATTTTATTTGAAGCAGTCTTGTCACAACAGTCACCATGGACTCTCACATTTTCTCTGTATATTGCTGCTTCTGAGACTTTCCACAGAAATTTCTATATAGCAGGGGGAAACGCAAATATGGCCTTCCTCTGCTCATGAAAAGCAGTCCAGCTCTGACTCTGCAGCTCTGGGAGAGGAGCCTAGCCTTGGATTTCCGTATGTACTGGCTCCACCAGACTCCACAGAAACATCTGGAATATGTCACATGCCTTAAACAAAAACTTGATAATTATGAAACAGAATACATTACATCTGTGAAAGACAGAGTCATCCTACCTAGAGATTATTCCAAAATAATCACCTGAAAATGAACAGCTTTAGACATTCAGACACCACCATGTATGAGTGCAAGACACACCGTGAGACTTGCAGCATGCCCTCATGACCATCAGGGGGTGCTCAGCACAGACAGCTCACAGGCTCAGCCTCAGCAGCAGGTGCAGAGCGAGGAAGCAATGCTTCCACTCAGAACCTGTGGTTTCTTATCCACCACAATAGCTCATGAAGATATTTAACACAGGGCTTGCCATTAACTGGAAACCACACAATTGTCTTTCAGAATGGGAGAGGAAAATAATAGGAAAGATCCTTATATTTATTGAATGCATTGTTACTCCTCCCCTGCCCTTCACCACATCCTCCATTATTTGGAGAGCACCTTGGACTTTAAACTTCTTACCCTATGTCATACAAGAAGTCCCTTCCTATGGGCAGATTCCTGAACATTTACGAATTTTAGACCATGACTTTTGAGCCAGAGCAGAAGTAAGAGAAAAAAAATAATGAAGAAAGAAGTGTAGGTCTTCACTTGTTGATGGAATAATTACATGTACAGAAAATTCTAGACTCCACTACAAAAGCTAATACAATTATGGTCAAATTCAGTAAAGCTGCAGGATACAAAACTGAACATTCGTAAAAATAAAACAATGCAGCAATTATACACACATAAATCATAAGACATTTATTCTGAGAAGAAAAAAATTACATACAATGAAAACTGTACTACATTGAAACAAAAAATTTAACATGAAATAAGAATATGGAACAATAAATTCTGTCCTAGAGTTCAAAGTCAATATTACTGTATGTGCCTACTGTTGCTGTAGCAAATAATTGAGATAAAATAATATATATAAAATAATAAGATGATGGTCTTATTTTTGTTCAGAGTATTCACATTTCCTGTCATTTGTTGCTTTGTACCATTGCTCTGTGTCAGAGGAAGAAGAGGATATCATGTCAGTTTCACATGGTACAGAAGATCTGGTCACCCATTGTGTCTGGGGATGTCAGAGACAGAGTGGAGTGTGGGATCCCAATATCCACTTCAAGGTTATGCTACAAAGATCCTAACTTCCTTCCAGTCACCATCACCCCTAAAAACTGCACCTCCTCCCAAGAGGGGATTTTGGCCCATGGGAGATACCCGAGTACAAAATACTGCACAAGCCAGGAAAATAAACACATTTGGTGAGCTAATCTTTTAAATGAATGACATATTACATTGAATCACAAAACAACAAACCTAAGGTTCACAAGAATCTGTAGTAGATCATTCACCCCCTAAAAATACTAAATGAAATGATGTCATGATTTCCAAAGTAAAAAAAAATCTTGAAAGATTCTCAACATTAGTTACCTTTTTGGTCACTAATTTAAAAAGTATGTATTCATATTAGAATACAATGAAAAAGAGAACTTGAAAGACTGAATGTGGGTGTGAATATAAATGAGCCATTATTTATTAATGATGGATTGGCAAATGGTACAACACTTCAGGAAGACACTTGTCAGGTCCTTTCAGAGTAAAGGTAGGTTGAACCTCCAACCCAAACATTGAATTTAGTTATTTACCAAAAGTAACTGGAAATAAATGTCCACAAAAACAATAAACTCAAATGGTGATAGAATCTTAGTTCATAAGTATCCAAAAGTGGAAGCAACCAAGGTGTCTTTGAACAAGTAGTGCATCATCACAGTTTTTAGATAAATCCCTAGAGGCCAAGTAGGAGGTAAATACATTTGACATCTAAATTCAGGACAAACACTGCTGAGTATCAAATTTATATTCATAGGTGAAGAACTCCTACTGACTGCACAGTGCACTGTGATCACATCAGTAGAACACACTAAAAAGGCCATTTTTTAAGAATAGGACACAAAATAATGGAGGCCAAGGTTAACCTCACCTGGGAGATTTCCGTGTTTCTTCTTTACATGGCAGTTGTGAGTACAGGAGAGGTTGTGGGCTAAGGAGACTGTGCCATACATTATGCTCAATGTTTTTACTAGAAAGCATGGAGAGTTTTTAGAAGTGGACTTTCAACATTGCAATTTACACTTAGGGACACAAAGTTTGTCCCATCAAGCATTTCTCATCTTACTATTATAGGACTCTGTCACTCCTTTGCTTACCACATGTGCTTCTGTTTTCCATCACTCCTTAGCTTCATTATTTCACCATGAAGATTGTTTGGACAATGTACATAATACCCATCCATTTTCTGAGGATTGAATTTGTTGCCCACAAGATACTGGTTTTCTTGGTTATTCCCAGCAGATGCACAGTCTTGTCATGGAGTGGAGAAAGGAAGGGTGGTTCTAGACATGTTTAGGCAGCGGATTCTGTCCCTGTAGTCCAGTGAGCAGTACTATCATGGGTGGAGGACTTGTGTACAACTCCCTAAACCATCAGGAAGATGCAAGATGACAGGTAAACCCTGAGATGTTTCGATACGTATGTTTATGCAAAATTCAAATGTCCATACTTCACATACAAACTAAGGTCAGTAAGGGATAGGTCTTTCTGGATATAACGAGTCCATGAGGTCTCTGATGTCATAGGTGGGACTGGCTTCTCCATGAATGAATACAGAGTAGGAGAATACCCCTTTTCTATACTTTCACCATGTGAACAAGCAGTGACAATCTCCCTCACCATGTGAGGAGACATCAACCAGTTATCACCTTGCAAGACAAGAGTCATCACTACTATATTCTTTGTCTGCCAGAAACTTGATCTAGGACATCACAGCCTCAGAGCTAAGATTTAAAAATTAGCACATGTGTTATATATTCTTACATAGAAAAAGTGTCAATGATTTGTATTGTGTCAGGACTGTGTGGTGCAGATTTAACTAACACTTGAAATCATTAGTAGGAAATGTCTACAGGAATAATGTAACCTCATAGATCAGACAAGTGTCCTTATAGAAAGGTTTCATAAAGGGAATTTATCCCTTATACTCCCCTCTGCAAAGTCAGAACCCAGTGTGCTTCTCTTCTGACAAGTGGGGCAGAACATAGACAACATTGGAAGCAGAGCATTCACTCAGCCTTAATCATGACCTTCTCAACCTCCCAAAAAGAGAGTCCAATTTGATTTGTTTGCTAGTTACACTTTTTTGTATAGTTTATTACTGTCATGAGAAGGGAGTAAGACACCCCATACAATTGTGCATCCTGTAATCTTCACACTCTGAGGCTTCAGTGCACTTGGTTTCAGCAATCCATATCTTACTTCCATTTCAACCTCCTTTCTCAGCCATGTTCCACAAGCTGGCCTCTGCCCTAAAGAAGAACATTCTTGCTCCTCTTTCCCCTGCAGACACCTGAATGTCCAGATTCCTTATATTCTTTTGGCCCCATGGACTCAGCTTTCTGAGAAACTGAAGGAAATTTGTCAGTTTGCGATTTTTCCAAGGTCTTGTTATTGTTGTTGTACACATGTGTGTAGCTGTAGACCAAGCTTTATTTTCAGATCCTTAAATATGAAATGTGACTATCAAACGTACTTTCTAAGAAACAGAAATTGAGAACAATTTAAATAACCCTGAAGAGGGCAACTGGAAAAATAAACTGTTTTATAACCGGAAAAAGTATTTCACTTAAAAATCCATCTGTGCAAATTCCCACAATAATATGGAGGTTTTTAAATGAAGATTCTGAGTTAACATTACAATAAAGTACAAAACTACCTGACATTGGAGTTAATTACGGAAAATTGAAACCAATGTAAAGCCACATAAAGAATGTGCTGAAATCTCTGGAGACTGAGGTAAGGAGAGAGGATAGGAGGGTGGATTACATATGAATCAAAGGAAAGAATTTAGGATGACATAAGTGTTTATGGGTTTGCTTGGTGACACCTGTGTATTTTTCCATGTAGATTAATATTGAACATGAACACACTTCATTAAGTTCAGGTGAATATATGCACTCTTCTTAAGTGAGGTCCCAAAAAATGAACAATATGTGTCATCAGGGAAAGAGTGACACACATTAGACAATGACACAATAAATGACAGAGACTCATTAACAAACGTCTACATGAACACTGTTTTTTTTTATTTCTCTCAGTAAACACCTGAGAGCAACAGTCACACCCATTCCTAGGACAGGAAGAGATTCTGCAAACATCACCAGGCAGGTCCACTCTGTTCAGGACATGGAACAGAGGCAGTGGTTTCAGGACAGAGGAGCACATGTCAAGACAGTGAAACAAGGCATGAGATTTTGTTCAAATAGCACACAGTAAATCTTTTTTACTTTCTCTTCTGTGGAAGGGAGGTAACATTAACATATAAAATGCATGTCTTGTACATACACAAAAATGAAATTTAATGATTCATTCTAAATATTCAACAAGACACATCCAGTTTGTGTGATGTCATATTTTCTATCAAGTCACCATTATCATGACTGTCCTCCAGGACTCTCCTATCTCCTCTGGGAAGTATCTTCTCTGAGACTTCCGTATAGAGACTTTTATATAGAAGGATGGCATGCAAATAGGGACTCCTTCTTCTCTTGAAAACCAGCCCAGCCCTGACCCTGCAGCTCTGGGACAGGAGTCCAGCCCATTCCAGGATCAGTACTGAACTCAGACCACACATCATGAAGTTGGGGCTGATCTTGGTTTTCCTTGTTGCTATATTCAAAGGTGGTTTATGAAGAACAAGAGATAATGATTGTTTGAATGGACATGAGTAAGAGGAACAGTAGGCATGTGATAGTTTCCTGACCAAGATTTTCTTTGTTTTCAGGTATCCAGTGTGAGGTACAGCTGGTGGAGTCTGGGGGAGGCTTGGTGAAGCCTGGGGGATCCCTTAGGCTCTCCTGTGCAGCCTCTGGTTCCACTTTCAGTGATTATGCAATGAACTGGGTCCGTCAGGCTCCAGGGAAGGGGCTGGAATGGGTGGCAGTTATCGAATATGATAGCAGTGAGAAATACTACGCAGACTCTGTGAAGGGCAGATTCACCATCTCCAGAGACAATGCCAAGAACGAGCTGTATCTTCAAATGAACAGCCTGAATGTTGATGACACAGCTACGTATTACTGTGCAAGAGACACAGTGAGAGGACTTCAGTGTGAGTCCAGACACAAACCTCCCTGCCAGTCACTCAGGACTGTTACTGGGGCAGAGGACCAGCAGGGGGCACTCAGGACATACTGAGCCCAGGATCAGACCATGTGCAGGTGCATAGAGAATTTGAGTGCTGGTTTCCTTTCAGGATTTTCTCCTCCATAAGACAGTTTCCCAAAGGAGATTTTGGTTTCCCGTTTCTGTGATTAACCACTGAGGTCTCTGAATTAGAAAAATTTGTTTTCACCAGATGATCTTCAGATCTGCATTTTAAGGGAAATAATCCAGACTCAGAAAGACAAGAATTGCATGTTTACACTCATAAGTGGATTCTAGAGTGAAAAAATGACATTAGAGTAGAAGTGAGACTAGTGGAGAAGGGGAAGGGGACTGGGGCCAGGACGTCTGAATAGAGGAAGGGAATGTGGTAATTGAGGATCCATATGAGAAAATCATATGGTATTCATGCATGAAAACATCACAGTGAAACACGGCATAATTTTTTCATTCTATGCAGCAGTAAGAACATTAATAGCAAGACACATTCTCACCTATACAAATGCCAAAGTTTTCATTTAGGGGGGCAGAAATGACTCTGCCTTGATCATCAGGATGACAGTCATGACCTGCTTGGCCCTTAGTGCAGGTTGATGGCATCAAATAAACCATGTCATTCAGAGAATGCTGCACTGGATGGCTAGAGTTGTAATGTAGTCCAGGAGCTGCACTGAATAGTTTCCAGAACCAGGAGACTCCATTAGCTTATTTGGTTGTGGGAAAGCCACTTATTATGACATCACTCATTATTAGTAAGATCACATCTCAGCAAACAAGCCTGGCAATATGGAGTGCACAAATGGTCTCAGCTCCATTGGAACTAGCAGGAGGACAGTGCAAGATCCACCCTCAGAACAAATGAGACCTTATCTGAAAAAAAATTACCTACAGAAACACTGGTCTTGGTCTTGAGGTGTTGCTGAAGTTTTAGAGCAACTGGGTAAGAAGCAACTACCTAAACCATCAAAAGCACCACCAAAAAATAAACATTTTTGATGTCTTAATTAAGGAGATATCACCAGTAAACACTATGCAAGGTAATGTCTGGTCAAAGCTGATTGAGTAGGAGCCAGAGCTCCATGAAGAAATGTTCATATGTGCACAAGTATCCGCCATTGGTGCTGAGGCTGTGCTTGCTGTAAACTGAATGCCCCCTCTTATGTAAGGGCAGCCTAAGTGTCCCTTGCAAAGGACTCAACTCAGGGAAACTTTTACAGCAATAGTGGTGCCAAGATTTTATGTGTACCTTGCAATTGTAGTCACTGAGCCATTCATGAGACTCAACAGTGATGTGAGAGCTGATTCCCTATGCTCTGCACCATGCAATGATTGACTCTTCACTTAATACCCCAATAACTGCAGCCTCAGCTTACATCACAGGAGGCTGTGTGGGGAAGGCAGTCTGCATAAGCTCTTCCTGCCCCAGGCTCATCTGAGAACCTCAAGCACAGCACAGATCAGCTTGGTTCATTGCATATCTGTCACATTTTGAAACACAGTCATTGCCATTGCATAGTGTGGTGTTGGTGAGGATCATATCAGTTCTGTCAATGGCTTTAACATATCTACTCTTTGCTTTACAGGGGCTTAAATTAACTCTATAAGTCTATCTCATTTTCAGTTAGGATTGGATAGTAGTGCATAGGGGTTTCAGGGGCAAAATTACCTTCGTTCATGCTATTTAAAAATTGAGAACTCAGATGCTTCACGGTAACCAGAGTTCAGTGGTGATATTGGGAGTGATCAGCCAACCCAGGCCATTCACTGACCACTGTCTGCACACATCCTCTGATGGCCTTAATGCATTGATGTTCTGCAGATATGACAACCTGGGCATCCTCTGACTTCAAATATTTTAGTGTGAGGAAATCTGTGATCAGCAGAAGTCTGTACCACATGTGATGCTGGAATACCCTGTATTGGAGCCATGTGGTTGGAAATCCTAATTTTGCATGACATATGGGCTCTGCAGGGCACGAGACACCTCCCTGGAGTGTCCATGCACACATGAGATTTGTCTAACAAAGTGAAGGGGAAATTGTAGCCTCAAGAGACAAATTTTCATGGAACATCATTCTGCACTGGAAGATGAGGGAACAATGGGAGGAAGAGAGCAGTGCTCAAAGTCTGAGGACAGATTTAGTCTGGATTTAGGTGTTTGAGAGAGAAAGTTGTTTTGGATTGACATTCTTTGTGGTATATGGCACAGGAGAGAGTAAGCAGGATGCAAGGTTACATCCATCTGGTTTTCATTATCCACTTGGATTCTCCTTGTGGTAGCTGAGAATATTTCTTCCTATACTCTACAGGGCTGCTTTCAGAACTCCACCCTGATTGTGGCCTACTGGAGACCTGAGGGTTTTTTGGCTCTGTGCATATCCTTGTGCCTCCCTCATGGGGAAACTGAGAGCTATAATTTCAGCTTAAGTGGAATCCTCCTTCCCATACAGGGGCCTGAGGAATAAACAGAGAAGAGAAAACCCTGTTGATCAAGGATCAAAGTGTGTATGTGGAGCAGGATATTCAATAAACCACCCAGGAAGCCCAGGGACCTGAGGGGAAGATGTGGGGTGGACTGGCCATACCCAAATGAGACACGTGCTCTCCTGTCAATTTCAGGAGGCACAGGAAGACAGAGAGTGTTCAGAGGAAATCTTTACTTATATTATTTACTAGCTCACACTGTCAAAATTGGACACCACAGCTTGGGTATCTTAATAGCACAATTGTTTACTCACCCATTGGGCAACTAGAAGTCAAAGAAAAATATGCCAATATGCTTTGTTCCTGGTAATGCACATAGTTCCAGGGTAGGGTTTAAACATGGAGGCACATTTAGTTTATGTTGTCCTTATGGAATTTTCAATGGGTGAATGGGGGGAGGCAGAGAAATAGAGACTCAGAGAAAGAGAGATAGAGATAAAAAGAGAGAGGGAAGGGGAGAGGGAGAGGGAGAGGGATAGGCAGAGGCAGAGACAGACACAGAGAGAGCTAGTGATGTCTATTGTTAAAATCTCTTCCACTTTACGTTCACAGACCTGTTGGATGTAAACCTTTATTTAAACTTAATACCTCTTCAAATGACACACATCAAGTTAGATTCAAGTCATTTAGGAATCTGCATGTGAATTCTGAGGGACAAGTTTGACCCACAATGGCAATTCAGGGATGATGAGAATTCTCGGGATGTTTTGCTTGTCAAGGATGAAAAGGAGGTCATAAGTGATTTATGAAAGATGTGTTCCTAGTGATTGGTCCCAATAAATCCTTAAACAGAAAAACTCACTTCCTCATTTTTCTGCCAAAGTGAGAGGCATGTGAAAGAACAAAGAAAGTCCTCTGGATCTGGGAACCATTCAGTGCAGCTCCTGGACTACATTACAACTCAGTCATACAGTGCAGCTTTCTCTGAATGGAATGGTTTATTTGAAGCCATCAACCTGCACTAAGGGCCAAGCAGTTTGTGACTGTCATTATAGACTAAGGGTGTCCTTCATGGACCAAGTCTCTTTAGTTGGAATTCTAAGGCAAAATTACATGCCATCTCAGTGTCAGAAAAAACTCAGCTTCACCCAAGACTTTTTATTTTTCTACTTAATTTTCATTCATTAGTTTTGGTAATAGTGGTAAATTGCATGTAACACAAGAGGTGTGTTACATCAAATTGATTCTGCCCTTCCTCACTGACCACCAAATTTCACCTGCACTGTTTTTCTCTTCCCAAACCAGAAGCCTTTCAGTGCCATGCAACACCTACCCTGCCCTCTGCTGAACCTCCAGTAACTATTTCCTGTCTCCAAATTTCACTGTTCTAGGACCCTTGTGTATGATGATCCTACATTATTCCTCTTTTAGTGACTGGGTTATTTATCTTACTGTCAGTCTTATTTTTAAAACATAACAAGTATCCCTCACCCAGCTTTTCTTTACTCTTGGCTACTAGAAACTTTTAATACAAATATTTGACTAATTTAGAAATATAAAATAAATGTGTAATAAAACCTCCCTTCGCCAAAAATGAACCTATATTTTTGTGACTGTAGATCATTGCAAATAGAATACCTTTCTATTTCCTTTCCTGCAATCTTATTAATGCATAAAAGTGCTATGTATACTTGTCTGTTGATTTTTTTGTACTTAAATGTGCAATCTACCCAGACAGTTGACCTGGAGGTCCACTTTGCTTAAGCACCAGGATATTTTTCTCAATATTTTCACCTTCAGATGACTGGAAGTTTCCTGATTTTTCTAGTTCAATTTTAACTTTGTCCTTCCCGCCACTTTTGTTCTCTTTATTTTTTCAATTATATCACTTTTCTCTCTTATATTGCTTAATATATTTTCCTCTTCTACATCAATTCTTTATTGTCCTAATTGTTGGTTGTATTTTCTCTGCTTTCCAGACTTCTTTATAATGATTATAATTTTCTCTTGCTCACTTTACTATTAGTTGAATCTTCTTCATTTCCTAATTTTTCTTTTTTTAAATTGTTATTATTTATTTATTCACACATGTGTACATTGTTTGGATCATTTCTTCCCCCTTTCCACCACCCCCTTTCTCTCCCCCCACCTCCTCTCATTTCCAGGAAGAACTGTTCTGCCCTTATCTCTAATTTAGTTGAAGAGAAGACAAAAGCATAATGAGGAAGACAAAGCATGTTTGCTAGTTGACTTAAGGATACCTATACAGAGAGATTCTTAGCATTGAATCAAAGTAAAAATGTGTTACAATCCAATTTGACTCATATCTAACTGATCTTTTCACTGGTTCCTGATCCCCTTCTCATGTTAGCCTCTGTCACTCTCCCTTCTTTTTCTTTTCCCCTTCTACTTACTTCTCCATTTCTCTTTCCATCTTATTTTTCTGTATTTCTTGTACAATTCTCTACTGTTTTTCTTCCTATTTGTTTCAGTCTCTACTCTTATTAACTACTATCACATAAT